TTTATTTTTCACTCTATTCGGTCCTGCCTTATTTTTTAGTTTATCCTGACTTTTTTTTACTTAAATTGTCATCCTGCCTTTTTTTTTTTTGCAAAGTGTCTCATCCTGCCTTTTTTTTTACTCAAAACTCCTGTCCTGCCTATTTTTTTCAAATTTCATCCTAGCCCCCCCCCCCCCCCCCCCCATAAAAATCAAATGGTAGCTCCCTAATATATACAACTGCTATTTGTCCTGGTTTGTTGTAAATTAACTGGCGGTTAAATGTATTCTATTTGCACAGAGACAAAGCGAACCAGACACAAGGTTTAGTATTTCATAAAGTCTTCTCGTTTCCATTATATAACATTTAGAATCATGAGCAAGCGCAAACAAATGTCAAAGAATTTACCACTGTATGTCAGATCACAAGATTTTTCTTAACTTTAAGAGTGGCTTGTGATTCTCAGCATTGTCGTTGTAAGAATGGTGGTATTTTCCTGCGATTGCTTTGTGAAATGACATGTAATAATATTAACGAATGGGACTGTCTTAATTTCTATCTTCTTTAATTTTGAGGCCGTTTTTCTCTATTTTCTTTATTAATTTTGCACATTGTATTTCGGCACCCAATTATTCTCTATTATTTATGTTTTTTGCCTTTTTTTCTCAATCTTATTATTTTTACCCTTGATTTCTATTTTTTTGTTTGTCATTATTCTTTATTTAGTAAACTCAATCCATACCCTCATCAATTTATATCATTATTGGTGGTTAGAATCAAAAGTTATTGTTGGTATTTTACTTCAGAACAGCAGATTGAGCGTACAAATTCATTCGGCCATGGACTTTATATATATATTGCACTATCATTTTTAAAATATGGTATCTGAAGTATGGTTGCATGAGGATCTGGATGGGGATTACAGCAAAGAGCATTATGGACCAAGAGGGCCAAAAAATGGGCTAAACATAAAGAATAGAGAAAAATTGAGTGCTAAAATTTATAGATTTCAGAATAACAGGGAAAATAGATAAAGAATAGAGAAAAGGGAAAAAGGATTTGAAAAATTAAAGAATACAGAATCAAAGAACTCCCCATCCAGACCATCATGATTTGTCTCTTGATATTTTCAAATGTCTTTTCTTTGTAACATCTATGAACAAGAGACACATTTTATGAAAAAAAGTTGAGAAACATCAACGACATTGATTATCAATCGTAAATAAAAATTCCCTTGGTACAAGAACTGGTGCACTCTAAAAATCGTGCATCGAAAATATAAACTTGTATTAGTTCTCAATGTGTTTAGGATTATGTTTAATAATTAGACACATTTCTAAGTAAGCACATTAAATGTATGTACAATGTACACATGTATTGAATATAAACACTTTCAAATGTGTTTTAGAATAAAAGTGGTTAATTGTTTACTTTTTACACATTGTGACTTGAATGGATAGTTGTCTCATTGGCACTCATACCACATCTTATTTATATTATAGGACTTAAACACTAATTTCTGAGCTAAACACGATCCTAAACACAATCCAAAAACACATTGTCAATCTTAACAAGTTTAAAACAGAGACGTGTTTAGACCTGTACGTGTAAAAAAGTTCACAAACAATGTGTTTAGAATTGTGCTTATAACCTAAACACCATTTTTACAGTGTTTACTTGCATAAAAAATTATTTCAGAGATGCAGGATTAAACATATTTTTTTTTAGAAACTATTGATGTGTAAACTGGGCGATTAAATCAAAAACTGAATATATTTTATAAATGTCTGAAAAAGGACTTTTATGTAAAGTTTGTGAGTCAGGAGTCTATCCGTTTGAACATCAATAACTATAAAAAAAAATGTGTTAAACCTTATAATTTTCAACCCAAACACTTGTTCAGTTTTTCTTTCACCGTCATCTTTTTCAAAACTCCAGTTTTCTATTCATTGATATATCAAAGTGAAATCGACAAAGTGTTTACATATGTTATGAAAGTGTGGACCATGGAAAAAAATATAACGGACCAATCACATTCAAGTATTCCATTCTCAATTTTATAAAGTAAAATAACAAAAAACACCGAACTCCAAGGAAAATTCAAAACGGAAAGTCCTTTATCAAATGGCAAAATCAAAAACTCAAACTCATCAAACGAATGAAAAACAACCGTCATATTCCTGATTTGGTACAGGCATTTCCTTACGTAGAAAGTGGTATATATACTTTGACCTATAATTGTTTACTTTTTATACATTGTGACTTGAATGGAGAGTTGTCTCATTGGCACTCATACTACATCTTCTTATTTATAAATAGGAAGAAACGTTGAAGAGAAAAAGACGGACTAAATGCAGTTTCTGCTCTTCGCTAGAGAATCTAGAGCCCTCGCCAGCGAATGAAAATTGAAAATAATATTTTGCCTTTAGCTAGTCGACAGTCTTGAACATGACATTTTGTTCTTTGCTAACTGAGGTTTATAAGGAAATGCTCTTTGCTTGTTGAACAGAAAGTTTTGCTCTTTGCCCACTGAGTCAAGAGAAGTATTAAATTTGGCTATTTGCTAGAAAAGGAAAAGCTCTTAAGTTTGCTTACTGAACAAATAGAAGGATTAAATTTTGCACTTTGCTAGCTTAGCCTGTAGAAAAAAGATAGGTGTGGATAGCTGCCCTTTCGACAGCAGCAGCTTAATGGTGCCAGCTTTTCACAAATCGACCATTATAACTTATAACAAACTTGTAATGTAATCGCAGTACTGCTATTAAATGCTAAATTGAATTAATTCCAAAGCATTATATCAAGTAAGATCTAACATGTCAGACAACTGTGGCATTTATGACAAGCAAACTGTTGTCAAATTTGCACTTATCAATAAATATATACACGATGCTAGCATTCCATACAGATAGTTTTATATACATTTACTTATCCGAAAGATGTAGAGTCATTCATGGAAAGTTGTCAAGTCAACGAAGTTTGAGCATCCCGACTAGCCTTTTGTTCCTTCTGCGATTGAATGTTGAGTTAGACATGCAAGATAGTATGGGAGTATTCCGCCATCTTGGATCGTAAAATAGCACGATCGGTTTACGTAGATTTTTCTTTAAATTGTAAAATAAGCAAGTTATGAGACAGCAATTCAACTCATTCACAATACGTTTTATTTAAATTTAAAAAAATGTATGATTATATCTTATTTTTTTACTTGTTTTTTTTTTCTAATACAAGGCAACCCTGCATCATAAAAGAGCAAAGTCTACTTAAAACAGCCCAACAGGAATGAATTATCAATAGTGTAAATAAACATATGAATAATTGACGAACTTTGGAACAGAACGAAAAATTAATCACATTTGAAATAAAAGAGTGTCGTCTGCTGTTTATGACAACCATGAACGTGATGATTATGGCTCATACCAAATTAATAAATCTCCATTAAAACTCCATTATATTTTCTACAAACATTAGAATTTTATTTCCGTTTTATATTCATGTTTATGTGTCAGTAAATGGGATTCGTGCTTTGTAAATAATTATTGGTTGTACATAGTAAATTTGTTGTTTTAACTAAATGTCATCCATTATAAGCGCATGTCGAGATATTATCATCATAATCACAATAGAGCTTCAGTGTAGAAAACCATGTTTGCTTATTGTTAAACGTTTGAATGATCGGGTTTAAGACATAATGTCAACCACTTTCATCACGTTTGATTCCTCCTACAGTTTAATATAAAGGGGGACAACCACTTTGAAAGAATTTTACTGTAAAGTTAATTCTATTCACTACAAAGCGCAAAATTTAATCCTACCTTTTGTTCGGCAAGCAAAGAGCATTTCCTTTTTTAAAGACTCAACTAGCAAAGAGCAAAACGTCCTGTTCATACATAAATACACAGATACACAGCTATGTTCTATCTTTTAAGGGACATTAGCTAATTTCATTAAAGATGCATTGTTAAATTGAAACTCCAAAGGGTTTTCAGTGGAAAATTTAGCGCCATGTATAATCTGGTCCAACCCATCAGTATCTTTGTCAAGTTAAGACCATTAAAGTTATAACTGGTAATTATTCCAATAACGATCGTCTGAAGAGTAGTCAGTGTATATGAGGGTCTGGATGGGGTGTCATTCAATTCTTTATTCATTAACTTTTAGACTTTCTTTATTCTTTATATCTAGTTTAACCATTATTCGCTGGTCTTTATATTTTAACAATCCATTATTCTCTATTCTTTCAATTTTGGACTATTTTTCTCTAGTTTTTGCCCTTTATTCTGCACTTTTTACCCATCATTCTCTACTCTATAAATCCCACCAAGACCCTCATTTTGGGGGGTATTTCTTCATATTCAACTCGAAGGTTAACCAACACCTGTCAACTGATGAAGACGATGTTCTCCTCTAAACGTCTTTGGATATTTGTGTCGATTGGGTTGCTGCCTCTTTGACGTTTTACCCATATCACCATTTTTTAATATATTTCACGTGTTTTGCTCTCAACCATTTTCAAGATGAAAATTTACATGAAAAATTTATTTATTTTTTAAAACAGACATCAAAAGAGTCAAAAAGGTTGATATAATTTGTTATCTAATTCAAGAGATGCTTATCTCTAATTCATGGTATCATATATAGTCGAACAGATCATAGATATATCTAGCGTCAATACAACTTAATATATTTGTTTACTAATATCAGATTGATTGCTGAAACTAAATATGTAGAGAGATCATGTTTCCTTTATACGTTTAAAAAGGGTACTTCAAATTGATAAGCTGACAAGTATACTGTTGCGTTTTATGTTTTTATAAGTTATTAATTGATTAAAGATAAAATAATAAAACATTTCTCGCAGAATGAAAATAAAATTCTGCTTTGGGATATCATCGATGATCGGTATCAAGGACACCGAAATATTGCCCTAATTGGCTTGTTTTAAATAAAATGAAAATTATGTATATTGCAAACATGAATCAGATGTTTAAGTTAGTTTATATTTTAAAAAAATATGTCCTACCTTTTCTATAATCTTTAGGATGGCAGCAGCCATTTCTTCTGAATTTTGTCTCAATTCCCACAACACAAATCAATCATGAAATCATCCCGAATAAAGTAGATAAATTTACAGTCTATTATAGAACGATTAATCGCCACTCGGCCAAGGTACCTTTAGATTGGCAATAAATGCTTGTCACAAACTTCAATCAGTGCTGAGTGCTGAAGCAACGTAATAAAAAATGTTCATACAACTTTGATTTCTTGGGGTCGATGCATTCCGAAAATCACTGTCATTGTTTATCAGGCGAAATAGTTGATTGGGGAGATTTAATCTAATTTATAAAAAGAGGAAGTCGAAAGTTGAACATCACAATAGTAAATTACGTGGTCTTCAATCCGATGTCCTTACCAATCGATTTCCAAGCAAACAAATAATAACGTAATCTACATATACATAGGAATCGTCAGAAAACAAGCTATTCCTTGTCAAACAAACGTTTTATGACAAACTTATTTTGACGCTATACAAATATGTCATATTAAATAAAGGTCTGTCTCATTTGTTCCGAGCGGAATTGATCGGTCTTATTGTCCAATATCCGTTAGCTATTCATTAAATGATTATTCCGTAAAATGATATTCAATCGTAGAAAAACTAATGAGAAATCTTAGCTTATGGCTTATTTCTCTGTTTTCCGTTTTAATTTGTTTCTAGCATTGCTAATTGAAATGATCAGTTCAGGTTTTCTAGAAAAATTCACATGAAAAGAACAGTACACCTTTTGTAAACAGACACAATCAACATACAACTGATTTTAATCAAAAGATTCCTTTTCTTTCTGTGGGAATTAATCTCAGAATAAATTTTAGAAATATCATCTATTTGTAATTATTTCTTTCCTAATATGAATATAAGTTTCCATGAATTTTTTGTTGTAAAATAGCAACCAAGTTTATCTTAATAGTCGATTTTCGAAATAAGCACAGAATCTGCAATTACAATGTTCATTGGAAAACGTTTAGCAAATTGCACCACACCTGAAACAGAGCATGAAAAAATCCGCACTTTGTTTTCGAAGATATTTATTAATTGAAATTTGCTGTCGATATTAAATTTTCATAAGTCTTCTAAACACCTTTGCATGACGACAAATTGCACAATTACTTTAATGTCTGTACTTTCTTTGAACAAATAATTAAGTATAATTATTTCCATAAATATTTCCTACATTTAGATGCGTTTGCTTGATATCGTTATCATTTTTAATCAAAGCAGTAAAGTTAATTGCTTATTTTGCAAATCGAACAATTTACAATCAAGTTTTGAAAATTATTCAAGCGTTTTTATAACTGCTCTTCCTTTTAGAGGTAAATTATGATGGATTTCATATCACCGCGGTGTCGGTTTCAGATTGCTGTCATTTTCACAGGTAACAGACATCAATAATTCAATATAAGCATACTTCCGTAATCGTCGAAGATAGTTTAATTAATTGCAGCTTGGAATCACAAAGTTTGCTAAAAATATCAAACCTACATCAACTTTCTGTGTTTAAAACTGTTTTCAAATCTCACAGATGTTTCTTTAATTAAACTAAGACCTGTTTTCGAAACTTACATCAATTTATGTTCAACGTCACTTTTCAGAAAAATCTCTTCAGATGTATATTGCAGTAAAACTCATTTGCATTTATTTCACTGTAATTAATCTCTAAACGATTGCAGATTTATCATTTGCTTCGTAACTTATTTTGATCCGTCAAAATATTCAGTATTTGAATACAACTGCCAATTTGCTGCCACCAGAGGAATGCAGATTTAAATTGTTAGTTGTCGATACGGTAAACTTACAACATATCCGACATTTTTATAATACTATTATATACAGGTGACTGCTACAGATCACCGATCAATTTCATACATCACACGTATTACTTTCAATATGGTTCTTCGTCTCTTTGCTGATTAATTTATTCTTTGATTAATCAACCGTGATCGACATTTATGTAACGATTCGTTGATAATCTATCTGTATATGATTGTATCCTAAGTACCATTTAATGGTATATTGAAACATTTGATTATGTCAGTAAATATTAATGCTGTAAACGTATATCAAATGCAACTACAATCGCGTTCACTTAATCCAAGTAAATATAGTATTATTTATTCAAATGATATACAATGTAGTTAAATCACATAAAATGCATATTAGAAATTTAACTAACGATTCAATTATTACAGTCAAAATTCATCCACAACTGCCACCAAACAAGAACGAACATAGCCAGACGTATAACAGTTAAATTTTAATGACGAAATAAACAAGCAAGATCTTTTCCATCCACGAGTGAGATTTATGTAATCACTTATGAACTTCATATGTCAGCTGATTAACTGAACCAAAACATTGATAAATATATAAGAACTCTACATAAACAAAGAATCTCTTTGATAATTTGATTATTCTGGTAAATCAAAGGTTCAATTAGAGCACAACGGGGTAGTAATGCAGGCAGAATGCAAAGCACACATCCACTGAGTTGTTAATTTGTACGGGAAGTCTTAAGCTTAATTACATTGTATGTTTCCCCGATTTATTCGGTAAAAATGTCAATTTCATTACTGATATTTACATCATGGTAAAGTAGCATTGAAAATTATCAACACCGAGGAAGACAATTCAACCGTTGTAAATGGCTCAGATAGTTATTTATTATGTGACGTATGCAAATAGAAAGTATTTATACAGACAAAATTTTCTATTGGTTTTTGTCATACACAGTCAAATACTCATGGGATTAGGTTATTCTGTTAAATGTTCATTTTCTAGCATAAATGAAACATATCCAATGTGAAAAACTATGACCAGGAAATGTCAAGTTAAAGATTCACATTTGGTTGTATTTATCATCAAAGTTTTATGAATTATTTTGACACTTCCTGCTGTCAAAATCTTTAAAAGAACAAAAAATGTCGATCTTGATACTAAATACCCGACCAGAAGAAACATGCAACTCTTTGTTCATGGAAAAGTATAATACTGTACAATTTTACTCAGACAAATGAAATCCAAGACACCCTGATGTCAAATATCGTCTCCATCTTTTCCGTCATGTCATTAATGTTTCTGAATATAATTTCTCTCTAATATTTCACATGCAACTCTCTTTTCCTTGGATATCTTTAATTCATTGGTAAATATATTTCTAGTCATATTTCCAATTGCTTAACGTTGCTATCTTCATTAAAAATGTAAGGAGGCACCAAAAGGGTTTCTGGGCAAAACCAAAATGTGCATTTCCCGTTTGAATGATTTTACACTAGTAATTTTTGGGGCCCTTTATAGCTTACTGTTCGGTGTGAGCCAAGGCTCCGTGTTGAAGACCGTACTTTGACCTATAATGGTTTACTTTTTTCAATTTTGACTTGGATGGAGAGTTGTCTCATTGGCACTCATACCACATCTTCCTATATCTATTTTGACAATTATTGTCTCTTCAGTTTTCAGTCTCTCCAAAAAGAGTAAAAGGAAACCCAAACACGGACAAGGATTCAAAGTTACGCACGAGGGAAATACATAACAAAATTTAAAATTTTTTTCACAATTTTAAAACAGAAAATTTCAATATCTGTTTTTTTCATGCCAGTACCTAGCACTTTATAAATTTCTTTCTACATGAAATTCAAGTTCATTTAGTTCCTTAACATTCTTCATTATTTGCTAGAAAAGCATGTTATGTTCTTATTCGCCTCTACATTTTGCGATGTACATTTCCTGAGCGAGGAAACATACATATTTTATTATCATTACTTACGCATCGATTTCACAGTTATTGTAATGTTTGTTTAATCCTTTGACTAACTAGACAACTGTTACCTCGTTTTAATAAAGAACAAATTATGAACGTAACAGGTGCTTGGTTCGTGTGTGAACCTTTCTGAATATTGATTATATTTTGTCATTTTTTTAACTTGTATTGTCATAAATATTGTATGTAATAACATTTGAAAAGTAATGATTATATATATAGTCATAGTATTGTGTAATTATACAATCAGCATTGTTAATGTAACAAATTGTATAAAATACGTTTTTTTTTTGTAGAATGGATTGGATGTTAATAGCTTTTTATCCTTTTTTTATAACTTGTTTGTGTATATTCGAAATGGATATTCGAGCAATGGACGTCAGTGAACTAATAGTGCATCTTATTAAACATTAAATAAATAAGAAGATATTATATGGTCATTCGAAAACAGACCAAAAACCCCAAGACAGTCCTCGACACAAAGATACATGGTCATAAGAAAATATACGATTAGAAAAACGATAGTCAACAAGTCAAGTTGTCAGCACTTCTATGTTGACATGCATTAGCATTTGTTTGGTTTTATTTAGAAGTTAACTGTTTACAAAACTTTGAATTTTTCGATAAACCACCCACCTCCCCCCGCCCCTTAATAATTGCATTGTTCTATCAGGAAAAAAAACACCACTTCAAACTATATGCAATTTTCAATATCAGAAATAGAGGGTCCTTTACTGACTATTTAAATTTAAATAATCTATGCATTGCAAACTGTATTTTAATCTTCATTTTCATAGGTTATGGTCAACAGAACTGAGAAAAAGGTAGATAAGATACAAAAGGGTGTAGTCGAAAGTCAAAAGAAGACTGACAACACTATGCCCTAATGGAAAACAAAATAGAAAACACCATCAACATGAAAAAGAACCACGCAAATAGGTAAGCAGGTGCGACATTTAGTAATGTTCAAAGTGCAATCGTCATTACAGATTCATTTCCGCTCAAAACCATCAACTACTCATCCATAATCTACATCATTGCCATTTACTTTTTCATTTTATATTTAGAGCTGCATCCAATGATTATTCTTTCTTTTCATACAATATTGTAAGCTATTTATATCTTGTAATTTTACGCCATCAATCATCTTTTTCCATTCTATATTGAAAAAAAAAATACAAACACAAAAATATCATTAATTTATAAACTTTCCAGCCAGTTTGGCTTACTGTATTTGATCTTAAAAAAGAAAGTAATACTTGATCTATCCTATACTTATAATTCAGAATCAAGTCACATTCCCTAAAATAACTTATAAAATGACCTTTTCACCTTGTATCTTGGATGAGTTTTGCAATCACTGGACCGATGCCACTGCAATTTAGCGTTTCGTCCCAAAAAAGTATCACCAAGCCAGTAGTCAGCACTTTTGAAATATCATTGGTATGATAAAAAGTAAAATCACAAAAATACTGAACTCCGAGGAAAATTCAAAAAGGAAAGTCCCTAATCAAATGGCAAAATCAAAAGCTCAAACACATCAAACGAATGGATAACAACTGTCATATTCCTGACTTGTTTAATTTTCTGTAAATTTACAACTTATAAAATGTTGAAATATTTGAAACGCTTAATCTGTTCAACCCTAGCAAATATAGCTTTAGGCGTATTAGGTATAACATTTCGGAATTTTTGGTTGTTAATGATTTCAACTTTGTGTATGATTTGTCCTCCTAATTGTCAGTTTGATTACCGCTCCACTGTATTTTGTGTGTTATGTAGATAAAAAAAAGTACCAACAAAAAGACCGAGCTCCAAGGTAAATTAAAAAAGAGGTTATTCATAAAAACTGACAACACCAAACGTGACTATGGCAACCAACGGAACGAATAGAAAATAACTGTAATATTGGTACAGACATTTTCCGACGAAAATAGTGAAATAAACCTGGTTTGAAACGTGCCTCTAGAGTACCAAATAAACCTGGTTTGAAACGTGCCTCTAGAGTACCAAATAAACCTGGTTTGAAACGTGCCTCTAGAGTACCAAATAAACCTGGTTTGAAACGTGCCTCTAGAGTACCAAATAAACCTGGTTTGAAACGTGCCTCTAGAGTACCAAATAAACCTGGTTTGAAACGTGCCTCTAGAGTACCAAATAAAAAGCCTTGTATCTTTGATGAGTTTGTACAGATGCTGATGAAAATTCCCAGGTTGTCAGGTGTTCATTTTCACCATTTTACACATAAAGTTAAAAATCTAATTTAAAATGCTGTAATATGTTATCTTAATTTATTTAAATAGTGATAAAACTTCAAACAAAGAAAGTCTTGTGACTCTTCCCTCGGTGCAATATTAGAAATTTTTGTGATAAAGCTGTATTTTTATGTTGTTGCTTTAGTTCAGAATTTAATTTGGAACTGCACCTTTTTGAGGCTATAATTCCATTATAAACTGACGGAATTACCAGTCAGCGAGGTTAATAATTGGAACATTCATCATGATTACCGCTTAGTTACAAGGAAAATAATGGAATAACAATTGTTCTTTTCTAAAAACAAAACAGATATGGGTCCAATGCGTCAAATAAACACAGAATGTAATTTTGTCGACGAAACAATGAAGATTTGTAAATTGTCAAAGATTACTCCAGGTTTGAGCAAGACAATCCGGAGGCTCGTTCAGCAAATGAGCAGACAAAATTAGTTGATGTGCACGTACACAAAAACCAATGTAACAAAACATGTAAAATTACCGACCAAAAGAATGTTGAATGAAAGCAAAAATCCGGAGCGTATTACATCAGAGTACTTTCTCTTCTTTTTATATTGTAGTAAGCTGAATAAAGCTTTATAGAGTAGGAACTGACAACATTTTTTATTTCATACTAGTACAGAAAAAGCAGAAATAACTTTTGGAAATAATGTAAATATTTTCATGAATTTAAACTTGTTCCAAGTTGAATAATATTTTATAAATTAGATTTGTGTCATGTTTAAATTTTGGTACAATTTTATCATATAGCTATAATAGTTATTTGATAAAAAAACATCCTATCTAAAACCCGTTTGTGGCCTTGGACTG